GCTGTGATTCTCAGACAGTGTATAATGCCAGACACTGGCCAACTGTTAAAGTGTTTTTGTGACTTAATGTCTCAAAGAGGATGTTGTCTACTCATTATGGTAGATCAATTTGTTATTTATTTGTTACAGGATAATGTTAATTTAACATGCAATTTAAGACACGTTAATCAGAGGCTTGAATCAGTGTTTTCATGCTAAACAGATGTCATCAAGAAGATCATTCTCAATAAATCTTGGGAAAAAATAGTTACATTTAGATACAGCTGTTATGTATTAACTTAACACTGCATGTCTAATTCAAAATGCCAATCTTTATTTCATTATGATGTTTTTCCTAATTTTTTTCTGGTCCTCTCAATAATTTCAGGACTTTCTTGACCAAGCATGGGCTAGCACCAAAAGTTGGATTGTAGTTTGAAATGTTGTATGTTAATGTCTTTTGTCAACGATCAAGTTAAGATCTATTGATACAGATAATATATCATTCAGTAGATATGATTGTGCAAGTATTCAACCATCTCAAACAACCAGCTCACACAAGTTGGGTCTGAAATAATTTGCTTTGGAAATACAGTGCTTGGCAACACCTTACCTCTGGAGTCGATTTCTATAGCTCACTTCATTTCTGCTGTTGCAGCATTAATGGATATTAATCTTTCTATTAATATTTTAGTTTTGATTTGACTTGCTTCGGTTAGGTCTACAAGGTGAACACTGGATATACAGGACCATTATTTGCGGAAGTGCTGGATTTGCTGACTTTTGTCCCCCTTTTGTCCGGAACTTGGGTGTGTGCTCTTGTTTCCAACCAGGGAGTGGGCAGGTGCAGTTAAAGTCTCTGTGTTATCTGATATCAGGGCAAACAGAAGCGCTGCTCCAACAGCTCATGTCGATATGAATACAGTTAAGGAAGAGGAAAAATTGTCTGTTGCAGTGTACAAATAATTAATTTATTAAGAATGAATGAGTCTAGAGATGTGGCTCTTAAATGAAGCGACCTAAATGTGCTTTTGATTTGAATAAAGGCTTGTCTCAGTTAATAAGGTCAAATGCCTCACAAGTCAGATAAGACAAGACAGACTTTATTAGCTACCAGAGTGATTTGTATGCTGCGCACACTCCCAAAGCCCATTACAACCCAAGATAATGATTTTGTGTTTATGCATTTAATGGAGAATTGTACTGAACTGAAAAGCAGAAGACTACAGGTTTAACTAGCAGAGGGTTGGTTCTGAATCATGTTTATCATCAGAGTAAATGAGGTGTTTAAGTGCACTCTGCACCTCCTCACAGCACAAACACATATTATATTGTGTCTTTTTATCTGTACCTGCCTCTATGGCCACTGCCAAGGGCCTTCCCTGTGTCTCTTCTCTTTGCTAAGTTACCAGCTGCACAGACACACACTGTATTGTTTGCCTGCAGCGCTGTTGAACAAGCGCGTTAAACATTAGCCACTCTTTAGCCCTCAAACCAGGATTAGGGCCGACTTAGGCTCACCGTCAGACAAGTGTAAAACTAGACAGGTCTGTGAGCGCAAGAAAACAGTGGAGTGACACATACAGGTCTTTACAGCGTCATGTGTTCAGTGTAAACAACAGGTATTATGACATGAAATGCAAGACCAAAGGCTGGCACATCTCTGTTTGAAGATTAAGTAACAAAAATAGTATTATCATCACCAGATGTGCACTTCTAAGTTGAGAGAAATCTTTCTGATTTCACAAAATCAACATAGATAGCAGAGATGTAAACAGAGCATAATTCTTCTCAAGTGGCCATGTCTGAAATATCAGATGTTTCAACTGTTTAAAACTATTGTAGCTGGTGTCATTGTGAAATTAGGCAGTCACAACAGAGGTGGTTGTCCCTGGGTTTCTTAAGTTTTACGAAGACAGAATAGTGCTTGTTCCACATAATTTTAGCACTTAAATTCTGTTGCATATACAATGACAGACTATTAACAAGAGTTATTTTAGACGTTGTTGTGCATTGGTACAGTTCCCTCAGGGGTACCATTTCACCTTCCTGCTCTATGGACAAAAGTCATTACAAGTCATCGTAGTCAAAACAGAGCAAATGCTTTTCTCATGTCAGGAGGTTGCCTAACAACCATTAGCGGCCTGGGTTATATTTTCTCAAGCTCCACCACATCTGACATGTGTGCTCCTCTGGGACCATCTAGATGTCCATTTTTCACTTCTTGGGGGTACAGAGCCTTAAACTGGTCTCTATGGTCTTAATAATTAGCTCATGTGGTGTACATTCCTGAGCAGCTAGCATCATTGCTGCTCTTTGGGGGAGAACATTGATAGTGGAGTTTGTTGGCAAAGATATACAGATAGAATCCTGCTTGACCGTATGCGTTTTTCAATGAGGCCTGTAGAAGAAAAAGATGCTTGTAAATGGTTGTTCTTTGTAATGTTGTGGCGGTGGGCTAGGCCTCTTAATGATAAGGTTCGATAACAGTAGAGTAGAGACAATTGCCAGGGTTTTCATAGCCATGTCTGTAATGTGTCACATGAGGCAACCCCGAGCAACAACAGTCATTATGGCCTCAGTCGCTCATGATCGACTATCATTAGACCACAGCATGCACTTTACTGAGCAAATAGTGTGCCTGACGCTGGCATTGTTTCTCATAATCAGGTTCATCTTTTACAAATAAACTGAATGCAAAGGCAAAACTCTACAAGGGGTGAGCAATATGGCAAATTAGAATATCTCGATTTTGTTTTTGGAACCAGATCACAATTTTGATTTTATTACAAGTCATGTACACTTTGTTGTCTTTTTGAGTAAATAATGTCATTAGCCTCTTCTTAAAATTTACAGCTGGTCACTAACTCAGAGGTTAACAAATTAGGTGGGAAAATTATCTGTATTTGAGACATTAAACAGTATTTAATAGAGAAATGCTGAATGATGGAGCAATTTCACCAACATATCAAGGGTGATGTAAACTGGAGGCACTGTTCTGCCTGAAGCTTTGTTAAATTTTAATTTGAGCCTTGTTTAAACACAATATGAGAAGAAGGAACTGACTTAACTGGTACAGGTGACCTGATTTGTGCTGTTTAACAAGTTCCTCCCAAATAACATTACATCAGATCGTCACAGGAATTACAAAAACAGAAAAACAATAACATTTTTATGACTTTATCACCCAGCCCTAGACTCTACCCTTCGTTTTTCAGACAATGATAATAAATTAACTTGTTCCTGCATTTTCCCCTTTAATGTTTCACTGCCATTTGACACTATCTACTGTATTTTATGGCCTATTGTGAATTGAAGATAAGATTTGCTATTCATTGTAGTTTGTCAAAGAGGGAACATTATAAACGTATCCAAATGTTTAGTTACACATACTGATACAGTCTCATTATATCTGTTTCACTGTGTTTCAGCTATGTGTTTTTGTATGCTGTTTGGCAGAAGTGTGTAGCTGCTGTTGCTTTTGTTACATTGATATTGTGCAGAGGTTAGGCCTGTGCTGATTTCCTGAGTCAGACTTGGTGTTCTCAGTGTCCAGGGGATTGGAGAGAAAACGCTGAGTGGAGAGAGCAGTCTTATTACTGAGTCTGATCGCTGCACTGCAGGTGAGAGCGGCCATTCACACTGTCACTTTTATTGACCACAGATTTACGGAGCTTGTGGTTCATAATCATGCCCACAATAAAGTTTCATAGACCACCAACAGCTCAGATAAACCCCAGGACACACTGTTTCACTACTGAATGTGCTGGGTCTAGACATCATCAACATACTGATTAGGGTCAATTTTGATTATTTTCCCCAAATTGTGTAATTTAAATTTATCCACAGCCCATTTATAATCCAAATATGGACTCAATATATTGGTCTATCTCTAGTTGGGCCATTGTCATGTGGTGAAGAGGGTACATTTTACCAACAAGTTTCACGCTGAGAGCAAATACTGGTGTCTTCCACATGATTCCTCTTAGAAGAACATGTTTTTGTAAATCCACCAAAACAACCTGACCACATCAACACTGCAGATTTTTGAGGTTGAGAATACAAGCTTGCTTTGTTTATTGCATATTTTTTGTTATACTTATTATCAATCACAGTCATTAAAGTAAATATATCATCTTAGTGTTGTTAGCCTCAGTGTTGATTTATTTAATAGTGCACATTGTGTACATTATAAGTACCGAGTGAGACCTAGAACAGGTTTGCAAAGCTAAACCTGTATCAGTGTTTTAATGCAGACTCTTTGTGATGTTTACTGAGTCAGGCTTTTACAGTTTCACTTTTAGTATGTTCTTGTAACCTGTCATTCAAAATCATTTACAGGTTTATGCACGCTGCATAAACCTGTTGGTGATCATTATGTAACATGTGATGGCACTATTCTGTTTCACTGGTATTCTTTAACAAGACCAGACTTTTATAACTGTACACTCAGTGTTATCTTTATTGTGTGCAAGAGGTTTAGATGGACCAATAGATAAATCCTATGTGTACTACTTTTGAACATTGAATGCATTGTATTGTCTGTTGATGATAATTGTTTGTTTAGCTCATAATTATGTTATGTGTGAGAAACTACTGTGTCAGCACATGTATGTATGGAATATTTTACTTCTGATTGTTGTCTGTGATTTTGAGTGGTATAAGGTTCTGTTACCCGCCTGTCCTTTGGTATGTTCTGCTAATGGGGCAGCGTGGGGTGGCTCTGTTGGTGTGGGTGTGTTGAATGAAAGGCCAAAAGTGTGGAGTGAGGAATGTGGAAGAGAAAAGTGAATGGATCAAAGAAAAAAAAAAAAAAAACTTCTTCAGGCACAGAGAGAAAGAGAGAGAGAGAGAGAGAGAGAGAGAGAGAGAGAGAGAGAGAGAGGGAGAGAGAGACAGGGAGGGAGGTGGAGGAGAAGGGGAGGAGCTTTCATCGTGACTCTGCTCTCTGATTGGTCAGCACACACATAGGTCTATGCGTGTGTATGTGTGTGTCTGTATTGGGTGGGGGATTAGGCTGCGTCACGTGGTTCCTTTAGCTTCTTTTCTACACAAACACACACAGATCGGCTACAGCTCCTAACACACTCACAGCTGTTGATACATATCTGCACAACACAGCGGAGCTCACTTGATTCTGGGAATCTCAGTCTGCTGGCGGCACCTCTCCCTTAAAAGGAGCTAATACATGTAAAACACCTGGACGGACTAGTTTTGTGACTTTCCCTTCTCTTTCCTGCTCCCTCTTTTTCCTGGGTTCTTTCTGTTCTGGTATCCAACCATCAATAGAACAGAAGAGACATGTGTTTTGCTATGGACGCCTACTACTACTGCCTGCTGTCTCCCATTCACTGAGGAGGAAGTAATCTGAATACGGTTAGTGGTTTTATGGTTTGATAGTATTATTCGAGTACGATTTTTCATTGTGCACAGTCTTCCCGCCAGCTGCTAAAGGGCATGACACTAAAGATTACTGTACCGAAATGTGATTTGTAATTTTAAGGGGGAATTCCAGAGTATTAGACGTGCTTGCATGGCTACACGCACACACACGCACACACACACACACACACACAGAGGCAGGGGCACTGATGGACACACTTGGCAGAAGCAGGGCAGTGAATGTGGGCTTTAGCTGAAGATTAGCTTAGGTTATCTTGAATGTAGACAACAAGAGGAACAGTATGTGCGCAGAGATTGCTGTACAGTTGCTAAAGCGTGTGGTATGTGTTTTTAAGGAGGATTTAATAATTGAAGCAGGATCTAATTGGAGCAGAAAGTAATGGTTACAGCAGTGTTTGCATTTTGGCACTGTGGCATTATTTGCATTCTGTACAAAGGTTTTGGTGAACAGCAAAAACAACAGAGTGCTTGTTCTGGTGATGAGTATTATACATTAAGTCAGTAAAAAAGCATGGTTATGGATCACTGTTTAAATTGAAATATCATTTGAATTTTGGGTGTGGGAGAATGCTGTTTCTTAACCATTGTGAGGTAAAACCAGTTATTCTAATTTGACTTTAATTTTATAAACCTAATGTAGGAAAATTAATCCAATTAAAAATAGTAATTTCAATTTTTAGTACACGCATTTTGTCATCAAAAACACAATTAATGATACTGTATGTTTGCTCCTCAAAATCTGCAGCGAATCTTGCTAATCTAGGGACTGTGAAAACAAAGTCACAAAACAGTACTAATAAAATATATAAGACCTATATTTTCTCATACAAGTAAATCTTGACAGTAGAAGTAATTATTTGAAACTATTGTCATTTAAAATATGAGCCATATATTTGTGATTATAATTTGTGCCCTAACTGAGCTGTCACACCCTATGATATCAACGTTCTTTTCTAAACTCCTGTCACGGTAGATCACAACATTGCATCCCTACTATGTTTTGTGTCTATTCTGCATGTTGTGACTGCCTTTTACAGTGGTAGATAAACTTAGCCAATGTTCAGATTCTTTCCTGGCATTGTTGTCATTGTAGTGGTAACATAACCCCAAAGACTGTCTATTTTTAGGGGTGGGAGCTCAGAGAGATACAAGGAGCCACACTTTAAAGCCGCCCCCGAGCCATGATAAAGATATTTGCACGTGTGAGTGGATGGCTGTCCATGGGAGGGTCAGTGCAGGCTTGTCCCAGCTTGTAGCATTCCCCTGGTGGACAGTATAAAGTTCTTTTGGTTTGGTGAATTATGGTTGGTGTTGACTAGACAACATTTGAAATAGGGCTTTGTGATTTTATTCTTGCAGCTCAAATTGCATTTTCGATTAGATTGCACATTAAATTGTATTGTGTAGCCCTTATTTGAAATATAAAGTAATCCGTGGGACAGGGCTAGATGTAGTGTGATATGAGGCAAGGCGAGTCAGAAAGATGAGCTGCAGATATAGGGGTAGGCTTACATAAGAACTGTTTGTCCTTATAATGTTGGAGTTTATGTTGTCACCGCTGCAGGCTGTATCGAAATGTTAAAGGCCCGTGAGGCAATGTGTGTGACTGTTGCTGGGGATTACAGTAAACAACACCATAAAGCTGATGAAATATTGACAATTACCAAACATTACAACCTGAATTAAAGTTTTAGGGTAATGGTAATCTCCTACCAGTTTCTCATTGTAATTGAACAATTATTTGACACCAGTCTCTTGATATTTTTGCTACTTATTTTGAATTTATTATTACCATTTATATTTTTGCTATTTGGTCTTATAATATATTGTGATGTGTGAGCTACTGCGTCCAAATAACTGTGGATCAATAAAGTTTAAGTCTAAGTACATGCCAAGTTGCCAACTACAATATAGTTTCTTTGTTTTCACTGTAACTTTGTAACTTTCTCTGGACACACATCAGCTTGTAAGGAACAGCTTAACTAATAGCCTTTAAATGAGTGTTTGTAGGTGGTGAAAGTTTTAATAGACTTCCCACAGATGGATGCAACATGTGTTTTTGAGCAGTAGGAAAAGCACCAAAGGCCAGTTGCTGTCTAAAGGTCATGGGGTGAAAGGTCACGACCCCTTTGCCTCGGGCTACTGTTATAGTCTAGCAGCTCATGCCATAGTCTATCCATCAAGGCTTATACCAATGAATGTGTCGTGGCATTTCTTAAAAAGGGCAACTACTTTCCAACTCAGTCTCAGTCTAAATCTAATTAGATGTTTCATTTATGAATCACAGCACACATTTTGAGCCAACAAATAATATAAGATAAAACTCTGAATTAAGGACTTCATAATGAGTAATTTGAGGAAATGATGGTATAAAAAATTATGAGCTACATTTGAAAAGGAATCTAGGACAAATCTAAGTCTGAAACATATTCCACTTAAGAGCAATACTTAAAAGGCCCATATTATGCTTTTTTTCATATCTATGTTTTTGTTTGTTCATCAAAAACATCTCTGGGTTTTTTGTTTTTGTTAACACACTAATCCTGCATATTTAGTTTAGTTTCTCTCAAACAGAAAACACACTGTTCCTCCTTGATGTCATGTACAGGAAGCCCTCCACTGTGTTTTTAAACTCCATACACCGTCAGTGATTCATTTGGATAATTTCAGCCATGGAATTGCCAATCTCTTCTGAACAAAAGCTAAAAGGTAGCTGTTAACTTGAAAACCACTGCTTCATGACATCATAAGGTGGAACAGCTTTGGAGATGTAGACAGACTAAGGATTACTCAAATATGTGTAAATGAAACAAAACACAACTCCAGGTATGTTTTTGATGAGCTAACAACATGTCTTAAATCTCAAAAGAGTAAATTTTGTGTAATATAGGACCATTAACTAGGGCTAAGCTAGAGATACGATGGAGCAAATGAGAACTAAACCAGGGCTAAATTGCAGAGACTCACAGGCTGGGCTTTTGATTGTTAAGTCAAGGCAAGACCCACTTTTCTTCCTTGCAAACTTGCCACAATAATGCCATTACATTTGTATTTGAGAGCAAAAATGCATCTAGAATTCACCACTTTGAACTCTCTGCTGTCTTGTGGATCTCTCTGGATGTGACCGGAGTGGTGAGGACAATGATCTCTTTACAAAGCCTCAGTTTGGTGGGTGCTGTTGGGTTGGAGTGGGGCAGCGTACAGGGGCAGAGCTGTTGGGAGTGTAACCTTATTTTGGTGAGCTACAGCTGTACCGAATGCCACACATACTGCACATTGGATTTAAACTGCGGATGGACTTACATATGACTGAAACACACTCACATTTTTCGTCAGAATTTTGTTTTGGCATCCTTCATTTTGTGTTTGTGTATAGTGTGGTCTGATCTTTTCTTTCTGTGTGGTGCAGAACCACGCAGGATAAATTCATAATTACATAACCTCACTCTGTCCAGCTGTTTTCAATTAAAGAGGATTTCACTAAGATTTGATCCATTTTCCCCATATGAGCCGTGGCTTTTGGAACAGGCTGTTTCAGTGATCCTGTGGACTTGTTTGTACTGATAAGGCAATGGAAAGTACCAGGATTGGGTTACATTCAACAGTTGATTTATCCTGAAGCAATAACTTTTAAGGACATGCCCCCACTAGAGCAAGTTGAGTGCGTTCTTTGTCACTGGACTTTCTTGCTTAGCTTAAAGCACTGTGACCTATGCTTTTATCATTCTTTATTAGTGTTGTCATGATTAGGGGTGCACCACTCCAGTTTTTCCTGTTCCGATACTGATTCCGATACTGTACCTTTTAAGTATCGGATGAAACCTGGTGCATGGACTAATTCCTTTAAGCTAAAATAAAATAAGTCAAAACTGATCCTAATGTTATATTATGTTATGTTATATTTAGCTCTCAAGCAACAGCTTTGTCTAAATAAACTATGACCAACTATGACCAGTAAATATTCTTATTACTTCAATATGTCCAGTCAGGATATTAACTGAACAGATATCAAACCGATATCCTGTACCATTATCAGATCAGTGCATCTCATGATACAAAAATGTCAAACTTGATTTCGATATATGGGAAAAGGTTCAGTACTCGATGCCAGTTTTGAAAGCACAATGATAATACTTTTAAAAACTTTTATAACAGGATTTTTTTTGTATTAATATTACCATGTGGTTGCAATATAAATCAAGAACATTTCAAAATGATTCAGGAATTGGCCAATTTGGTCATAGTTTTGTGATTTTCTTCAGTACTACTTTCAAATGAGTATTTACTTTCAATTTTAAATTTAAGATCAATTAGTAACTGGTATCTCAGTAATTTTTGTTACCCATTGTGAGACAGACCCATTATATTCCAATTCATTACTACATTCTCCAATGGCTTTCAGTTAACTTTTAATCAAAGTTTTCCTGGTCCACCCTTTATGAACTATTCAGACTGACTTGTGCACTTGCTCGGTAATCTCACCCATCTTCTGCATGCCCTCTGACCCCTCTTACCAGCGTGTGTTGGACAGAATCACATAGCCTGCACCTCCTCCTGCGTTTCTCATCATAAAGAGTTAACTGTGGAGCGGGAGTCATATTGGCAGCGGGACAATCGTTTGGTTTGGCCCCATGTCAAATGACCACTGAGCTTTTAATGATGGAAAGCAGGAGGATCCCTTTTGCTCATAGGCGTCCTTGTCCACTCGCTAAAGCCAAGACGCCATCTGGAGCGCTCATAAGCCCCGCCTCTCCTTAATGTGACCCCAGCTTATCCTCAGACACCACACAAGACATGGACAGTGCTGCAATGCATTCTGGATAATGTAGTGTCTCTGTATATCTTTAATCTCAGGGTCTTGCTGGATCAGTGTTTCCTCCCATTCACAATAAGGTTTAAGGTAAAGGGCCTTCAATTCTCCAGTGTTGTTAGGTGGCCCAAAATGTTTCAATGAATCGCATAAAATTTTGCGATCTCCATGGCAACAAACAGGTGACTCTCCTAAAGCAGATGTTTTTGTTAATAAAAAAGGGTGCAATTGTATCAATGACATATAACTTTATATAATTCAAGGCAATAACATTTTTGTAAGACAAGCAGGTGACAACCCTCTGCCACAGGGGTGTCAAACTCAAATTCACAGAGGGCTGAATTTAAAAACTGGGACTAACTCGTGGGCCAAACTAAATATTTATTGAAAAATTTCAACATCATCTGCATGTTTTCTCTTCTTTCGAGATATATGTTAAACTTTTCCTTATTAAAATAAATGATTAATAATAGTTTTGCTTAAACTTTGAATCCAGAACAAGCATAATATAAAATAACAAAATGCCTAAGTTTGATCTGTCTGCTCTACCAGAAAGTTATGTAAAGATCCTTTAAAATAATACAACAATGTAGGCCAGGCATATTATTCTTCGGTTGTGATTCATGGACAGTGGGTTTCTAGGAAGAGCCTAAATCTATCTCTGCCTGCCCATCATTGTTTGGACGTTGCTCATTTTGCTTTTGAAATGTGTTTTCTTTTAATAGAAACCTAAATCTTGATTCTAGGTAACAGGCTCAGTTTCCCCTCACAAAAGTAAACCATAACATACCTTTTTTTTTACTAATCAGTGAACCCAATTTCAACACAATGGGATGATGAGAGAGTGCTTGGCTTGGGAGAAGACACTTGACAGTTCTACAATGACAGAACCATTTGTATTCATTGCCTCTTGACCTGAGAATAACCCATATGAGTAAACATTAAAAGCCATGGTCAAACAAATCTGTCTTCTTCTTTAAACTTGACTGAGGAAGCAGTGGCTCTTCATAGCTGTGTCTAGTGTCCATAGTGTATGCTGTATGGAATAAATGCTGTTATCTGCGTCACTGTCGAGATGAGGTTCTGAGATCACACAAATGTCCATTTCCTGTTTGACAAACACAGGGATCAGCCGCCAATAATAAGCTATCCATTATCTCATTAATCTTGTTTACTCAGCAATTTCCGCTTTTTGTTGTCTATTTCTGTGCAATGATACATTTTATTACTGTAATGGTCTCTTTGTTTCATTTTTCATACAGCCAAACTGTATTCCCTTAATGATGATGCATTGTCAGGATGCTCAACATGTAAACCTACTAATATTGTATGATCATAAATGTCTGTGTCAATAGTAGAATTATACATGTACTATATACTATGTATAACTACAGTGTTTTTGATGTAATATTCATCAATATTACTACTGATAGCTGATTATTTCTCTGATCCATTGTGTTGTGTTTTTGCAGGTGATCTACAGAAAAGCAGCCATAGACTACATCAGGCTGAAGCCAGTATGAGCACAAACAGTCACCAGGAGGTGGTCACGACCCCTCCTCCCGCCTCAGGCACCAAGGAGCGCTACTTCGACCGCATTGATGTGAATGACCCTGAGTACATCAGAGCCAGGAACATGTCTCCAGACCTACGGCAAGACTTCAACATCTTGGAGCAGAAGAAACGCGTGACACAGATCCTGCAGAGCCCTGTGAGTTACAGTAATGCTGTCTATTGGATAGGTGTGACATTGTGAAAATACAAGGTTCATTTTGACACTTGTTAGCTAGGATTATATAAGGCAACAGGGGGAACATTTTGCTCCGATGATTTAGAAGAGGGAAGATGGGGCCGCATGAAGACTTTGACAAGGGTCTGATTTAAATTGCTAAACAAGATATTTCTCATTTTTATTTGAACTGGAGCTCCTAGGATACTCACTGCAATGGTCAGTATCTACTAGAACATAAACCACAGTCGTGCACAAGTTATGTTATGAATGTTATTTTTAATATGAGATTAGAACTCCTGTTTGTTTGAAAACTCTTCTCCTCTCTCCCTCTCTCCTCCTCCCTCCTTTTCTCTACTCTCTTTCTCTCATGCTGTCTCGCCCCTTCTCTTCTTTCACCCTCTTTCTCTCCCCCTCTCCTCTTGTCTTGTCCTCTCTTTCTCTTTCTCCTCCTCTCTTCTTTTCTCACCCTCTTTCCTGTGCCCTGTATCTAGTGATACTGCTGTGGGCTCAGATTGTGCTGAAACAAACACAAAGTCCTGTTGTTGTAGCAGTCCCCTGGAGCTTTGGATTCCTCTGTACTGCTGCTTGTTTATTTTGTTACAATTCGAGTTAGAGCACTTATCTTACCTAAGGACGTGATTTTTAGCGGCACATAAACACCATTGTTAAGGAAGTACTGTTTTTTTCTTTGCCCTTTGAACGATTCCCTATTTTATGACAAGTCCCCTGGTAATATTTGCTCTCTTGTATTGACTCAAGGTTGTTCTCCAACTGAAGTGCTCCATTGTTGTTTGCATTTTAGGTTGATACCCATAAGCAGTGTTTCCCGCAGCACTTTATAGTTTAACAAAACTACGGTCGCCTGCCTTGGGAAACACTGCCCATAGGCACTGTCGCCATGCGCATTACACATACAGTCTGAAACCTACTCTAAATAGATTTATAGCCCAAAGATCTGTCTTAACGATACTTTTAAGCCATAAATGCTTTGAATGGCTGTCCCACAGTAGTAGATGGAGTCATATAAGTGTACAAGTGTGTGTGATTGATACTGGGTAGTGCTGATTGCTTGGCCCTGGTCTTTTTTGGGCTTTAATGTGAGCTGCATTCTGCACATACCCAGGGTAGTTAGCGTGGCACGTTGTATTTAGTCACAGATGTCAAGGCAGGAGGTCTGATCCCAGTTCACACACTTGATATGCTGAGTGAATGTGTTTTTGGAACTGCAAGAAAGAAGATTTTAGCAAGCTAGCAAAATATTCACTCATATTTTCCAAATGTATTACTTATGATTGTCATGGATTGTTATGATAATTACTATATTAACTTATCATTCAATACATGACGCATGGAACAATAGTTTTTGGGGGTCACTATTTATACTAGTGGGATTTCTTTTGATATTTTTGAAATTTGAGTTGTAAGAGGTAGAAATATGAACTATGGCAGATACAACCTATTCAAGTGTTGCACTCTGTCATTTGCATTTTTTTTTCTTTAACAGTATTGTACAATACTGTTATTTGTACAATATTGTTAAAAAACTAAACTTATGGTTTGGTTTAAATATTATGAATTATTGTCTACGTTTACTTCAGTTATATATTGGACTTCAACATTTGACAATGTGACGGGCCTATTACTTAGCTTAGGTTGACTTATGTTATCACTGCTGTGGTCTATATGAAAACACAAAATCGTATCAAAATGTTCAAGTACATGTTGTCTCTGAGTTATAATTTATCACCAAATTCATTATCTTGCATTTCACAAGCAGCTGTTTTATGGCTCTACTCCTTCATTCTCCTCTCTCTGACATGGACTGTTTGGCCCGTAGCATGCAGTTATTTGACTTAATTGGTCACTGATGGCTCTTATTTACCGCTCTCTCAAAGCATGTGCACTTCAGCTTGTGTGTTACTCGTGTGGTATGCATTTTTCTTCTCGCTTGATGTGGCTTTTGAACAGTGGCCAAGTCTTGCTCCGCCCTAGTAACAGGTGGCCCCGTGGAGGTCATAAAGGGTGCATTAAGCCTACCCAAATTCAGCTTCAACAACAGCAATAACAAGTGGGTATGATCCCGTGTGCCCGCCTCTCCTGCCCCTCTCTCTCATCGTGGTTTGTTTTGGTTTCAGTGTTAGGGCACCAGCCGCAGTCGAAGATTACATGTTGCTCAGATGGCAGCTTGTGTTTAAAGTTGGACCAATATAGACCAGGCGGGACATCTGATTTTCTTATACAGCCAGCTCAAGTAATTTTCACCTCTGGATAAAAGCCTGTTGGTGCATACAAAACCACCAATCATCAAAATGAGATAATGCACACATAATGAGGGATTAAATCATTTTAAATTACGTAATGTTTGTATTTGGGAGGCTGCATGTTACTTTAATCTGATGGATTTTGACCATACAATGTCCTTTGTACTCAAACACAAGCAATAAATTAAAAATAGAAATGACTGGTATTGTCCAAGATGTCAATATTGTTTTAAAGCAATGAAAATAAAAAAAATCAAGTATCTTGGCTATAATAAGAAAAGCTTACAGCTATGCTTATTATGATATATGTGTTTATAAATATAAATTACAGAAAATTTTAAGTGTAAAGGATTTATATGATTATTGATTATTGAGAAAACATAAGATTTTAGTCAAAAAGCTTACCTATAATTGTAACTGTGGGCTCAAAGTTCAGTTTAACACCATTTTGCATGTATATGGCCTCAGATCTTTAAGTACGAAGGCAAGGAGGTTGTGTAGTTGTGACCACCGCTGTGTCTGTCCTGACTCACGGCAATTCTCCTAAACCAAACCAGAACATGATGTGTTGTAACTTTGTCAGAGATTCCAAGGAACATTAGTCAACTTCACCACACACATGTCCAGTCTATGAACGTGATGAAGAAGAGAACAGTTTGTTTTCCAGTGAAAGGCAAGTTTGGCTTTATTGACTGATGTCAGCTAGAGAATATTTTACCTTTACTTCAAAGATTACATAGCAAATGTATTTTATTTTTGACCAGCTATTTTGCAGATTTTAATAGTCTTTCATTACAATCTAACTGTTATTTAAATTCTGGATGTCTTCAGAATGCCTAATATTATTTTATTGATTTTTTTATGTGCCCCACCTCCAGTCAAAGGCTGGAATCTGCATTACTCATTCTCTCCCAGAAGTTCTTCCTATAAAATCATCAGACTGATTAGTACAAATCAGACGACTTTAAACATTAAAGTCTATCATTGCTTACCAAATAATATAAAACATGTAGCTACAAGATATTGCAACAGCATCTCATCGTAGCCCTTTCATAATCTATTCTAAAGACCTCCGCAACGCTACATGTTATTTGTCAAGGCATTTGGTGTTTGAAGGCATGTTTTGTCAAGACAACCCTCGTCATCAATCATTGCTAATATTTTGCAAACGCATTGGGCTCATGGTTTGTTTTCCTTGCCTCTCATTGACCTCAGTATCTTGAAGGTCATATGAGAAGAGCGGTGTGAATACAGGGGATAATTGAGCTTCTTTATGGCACTGGAGAGAAAGACTGGTTTGTGTAACTGACCTAAGGAGCTCTGCAGCTTCTTGGTTTCTGTCTCATGATGTCACGGTTACTCAGAGATGTTAAGATTAATTTGATGAATGCTGTGGTTGGACATATGTTATATTTGCCCCTCTCACACTATCTATACTGGGAACTGCTGTGCTACTAATCAGGCTTCTGTACGAGAAGTCAAATGGTCAGAAGATGCATGAGATTGAATTTAGGTAGAATTGAATTTGACTGGTGAGCTGGTGTTCTTTTTGCGCCAATGTTCTCCTCACTGATTGCAGATGTAGGGTTGTCCAAAACTCAGTACCCACATGCTAACTGATACTAAACTCGATACTTGTACTCATCAGCAGATATTTTTGAACAATGTACTTGACCACATGGTAAAATAAAAGAAGCAATATGAAGATGGTTGGACAGTTTAGACTTTCCACAAAAATGTAAAAATCTTGCTTAGTTGCCCCTAGTTTGACAATTTTGGTGAAGTTTACAATTTTACTTCATGGGTGGACATTGGTAACAGATGTGCACTTCAAGGAGATTGAGGAGTATTTGACTGTGTACGACTAGGACATCTATGAATCATAAGTTCAGTAAAAAGTGTGTTTTTGTCATTAAGGATTATATAATCATGATGTGTATAATATAAAATCATGACAGACTTCTTGGCAATACATGTATGAATAAAGACATGTGTATAGTCTGATGCTTTATTTTAAAACAAGATAAACTCATCATAAACTGAGATAACAAACTACTGACTTAACTACCTACTTGCTATATATTTTGTTATGATCAAAACAGTGGTTTAGTAAACCTTAAGGCTGGTTGTAAGGGATATCTATGTATCAGGAAATGTATCGTATCATGGACCCTCAATGCCTATTATGAGGTACTTGGCAATGCCCAGCCCTAATGCTAGTCCCCTAATGTCCAAATGTAGTATTGCATTTGTTTACTGGTGATAATGCAGGGCATCCCAAGTGCGTCCTTTCTAGTCCTAGTAGAGTATCTAGTCTGGAGTATCTGGTCTTCCCCTTAAAGATGGCTGCTTGTCTGTGTATTCACTTTTCACTGTTAAACCTGTGGAGGTCTCATTAGACACATTAGTGGTTCAAATCGCTCCATTGGGTCTTTGAAAACCCACTTGTTCCATATCACAGCAGCTGGTTTTGCACTTTGACTTTTTACAACATCTCTCTTCCAGTGGTAAAGCAGTGAAAGCTCCTGCAGTGGAGAATTAGCCTCGGGAGTGGAGTATAACACTGTTAAGTACGACTGAGGCTCCTCAAAATGAAACATCAAATAAGACATTACATGCTCAGGTATTTTCACTCAAAATAAAAGCTCTTGCTTGTTGAATGCACTTCAATGATATGGCCATAGCACCTTGTCCTTTCTGATCTTCTCTAATCTTGGA